ACTTCATCGCCTGGAAGATAAATGTGGAAATAAGAACGCGGAGAAGAAACAGAAACCTGATTCAGAAAAATATTTTCTGTGATGTCGTAGCCGTGTAGTCTAACGCAATTGGTCAAAGTCAATTCCAATTCAACCCCCGGTGAGATCTCTGGAATTTTCTGCAATGATGTGCAGTTATCCAGCAATACCCAAGACAGTTTTGGAATTTTTTCCAATGATGTGCAGTTATCCAGCAATACGAATTCTACTCTTCGTGGAAGCACTTGTTCTGGAATTTCCAGAAGACTCTTGCAATCACTCAAGTCAAGCTTCCGCAAGTTGACAAATTTGCTAATGCATCTCGGAAGACTGACAAAATTGTTTCCCGATAGATCAAGTTCTGTTAATGTGGACCAGCAATCAAGGGGCAGGAGGAAATCACTTTTTGATAGATTGCATCCTTTGAGACTAAATGCAAATAGGTTGGGAAGCAGCTGTAATTCGGAGTTGCTGGATGAGACTTGAGAGTTCACCGTAATTGTAAGGTTCTCACAATAATCCAATCTCCGTAGTGATTCCATCTCTACTTCTATTTCTGGGAAACTCTCAAGCCTTTTGCAATAACCAAGATCAAGTTCTTTAAGAGATTTCAATCTAAGTGTTGTTGCAAACCTTGTAAGATTGAAGCATCCAACAAGATCCAATACAACAAGTTTATCAAGGAATCCAACAGAATCATCGACCTCAACCAACCGTGTGCAATCGCGTAGATTCAAGTACTCTATGTTTGGGATTCCGGATAAGTCTGGGATTTTTTCTAAGAATTGACAACCCCTCAAATCCATAGATGTCAGGTTTGGCAAATGCTGGGAGAGTGGGAGAGAAGAACACAAAAACATGAAATAATTAATCACACGCTTCAAAAGACAAAAACCTAGAAAAAATTTTTTTGTTTTTTTCTTTCTGAAATTAACAACTGTATTTGAAATTATATATAATGAATGGAAATAATTTAAAATGCATACCTTAAACTTAAATCCATCCAATTGTTTCATATGACTGCGAGGCATACTGAACACAACAAGACGATTTCCTTGAAAATTGGGTGGCAAAGACTGTAACTGACATCTATCCCAATCAATCAATGTTAAGGCGTTGGGCAGATAGTTAATGTGCCCACATAGAGATGCATTACGGTTTATGAAAATTTCAAGATTTACCATATTACGGAAGCATTCTGGATTTAAGGTTATCTCAGCTGGTTCTTGAAGCTTCACCATGATGCCTTTAATATTTCTTGTTCCCTAAGATAGAAAAGCATTAACATTAAAAAACGAAGTTGTTTTACAAACCAAAATGCAAGCACATTTTGTTAAGAAAATTATATAGGTTACATAAGGTATTCTTTCTGGTCAAATTGAATATAATAACATATGTGATACTTACTGTACTTTCCGTTAGAACTTGATCAACATCCTCGTAAAACCACAAT